CCCACTCTGTGAAGAATCGCATGAACTGGACTTAAGAAACAATTCTAACTTCACATTAACAAAATGCAGAACTGAACGCTTTAAAACTAGTTTTATACCACCAATGACTGCTAATTTTAATAGTAAATAATTTGTAGTATTTTAACAACTATACATATACGATATATCTATATTTATATTATTTGATATTTATCCTTTATTATGTTTCTGTAAGCATATTGCAATTCACCTTCGGGTGCCAAAATGTGTTTCTTAATAAACCTTTAATAATAATAATAATAATATATTGTGTATATTCGGCAGCCTATATAACATATTCACATAGTCAAAATTGTATGTTGTGTGAATGTGAGTGAGTGTAATTTGAGTGAATGTCAAAGAGTATATTGTGTATATAGTGTATATATATATATACACAACATACGTATATTATCAGTATATAGTCAAAAGTGTATATAGTGTATTGATTGATTGAACAAATCGACTTGGGGATGAAACAACCAGCGGATACAAGTGTATGATACACTGTGCATGCATGCATATGCATGTATAGTGTATAAATATATACATTGATCCATCAGGGGTATTTTAGGTTTTGGGACTTGGGTGGGAGCTCCCCCCAAATTTCAGGGGTTTTTTTATTTGGGGGGAATTCCCCCTCCTATAGTCACCCAGAAGTAATTTCCCATGCTCATCTATTTTCAAGTGAGGGAATAGAAATGATATCTGAGTCAATTCACCAAATGCACCTCTAAGTGCTTACCCATTTTTATACCACGCCGGGCTAGAAGAGTGTTCAACTCGGTCAGCTGTAACTATTTTCAAGATGGCATTTCTTCTTGTCAGTTTGCACAAAGTAGTCGAAAAGTACATTAAAAAGGCAAATGACAAAGAATTGGCTGGGAAAATCGGAACAGAAGTTCTTGAGCATTCCAGACAAGTCGCAAAAAATATTTATTTACCACAGAGAATGCTTGTAAGTTTCATATGGCAGAGCTTTTCCCGATGCTTTTGAGAGAGTTGCTTCACTTCACCAAGATCCTTCGCAGAAGAATGAAAACTTCAACTACCTTGTCTCATCTTTGGAAAATCCGCATTGTCAGAAACCTTCCCGTGGAAATATTCGAATTGCTAAAGGAAACTATTTTGAGGGGTGGCTGGCTATGGTAATACTGTGAAGAAAACAAAGTCTGTGGAACAGCTTGAAATATCAACCTTGGATGTTGTTTATAACTGGGTAAAGCATGTCGCTGGCAATAATACAACTTCTGGAAATATAGAAACAGATTTTTTTTCAAAACTATTGAAAGACGGTTCATGCTGTAAAAGCAATAGTTTCACCAGAACATCCATTTATTGTTAAATACTCTAATACACAAGAAAATATTCAGTTTGTAACTTGTTATTGTCTGCTGCTGAACATGTTCTATCATAAATCTTGGTTATAGTTGAAGGTGAAGGGTTGAAGTATATTCACTATTGAGCATTATCTATAATGGTATGGACATTGTTGAATGGTATGGACACAATGGACATTATATATGCAGTGTGGAATGCAGGTTATAAATTTCCACCCATGCTTGTAGAAAAGCCCCCTAGCTACTAGTGCTTAGGCAAAGCAAAGATTATTATTTTATAAAAGTATTCTATAAAACCAAAGATGACATTCCAATTTTTTTCTAGGCATGACCCCCCCCC